GCTGGTGGTTCAAACCCATCAGCCACTCCTCGGAAGGAAGGTTGGGCAATCCTACTTCTGTAGTGATACTGCCTCGGAAACCCAAGGAGTCGGGGCCAACTTGACAGCACATAACAACAACAACAACAACAATATTATTAATACTTTTGTCCTTTCTATTATTATTCTTAATCTTCCCCTCCCAGGTCCTAGATTTCAGCATTTTTTCTTTTCCCTGTGCCTGTGCCTGGTTGAAATTTCTATTTTCTTTTTTAATTTAATAGGGGTTTTATTTGTTTATTTATTTTTCCCCTTTTTTCTTGTGGTTAACCCTGTTCCTTGATTTTCTTTTTTCATTTTTCCCTTTTTTTTTCCATTTATTATTCTCCTTCACTACTTTCTTTTTTCTTAGTGCCCTATCCCCAGATATTGCAGGTTTTATTGTTTTTTCTTCTTTTTTTCCCCTTTTTTCTTTTTTTTGGTTACTGTTCCTGTGTGATCACATGATGTGTTTTTCATCCATGGGCTTTTAGATTTTTGATGGTTATTAAATTGTAATTTGTGTCTAATTGAGTGGGAGACAACAACAGTCCCCATAAGACACAACTACACCCACACCTCCTGCAACTTCACTTACTGACCAAGAGCCACTACCTCCTTCTCCACCAACAGGCCAACTATAAAAAACCAAGAAGAGCTTGAATCACCCTTGGCTGCTCTTCACAGACAGTCAACAGATATCTAAATACAACAATACCACAATGCCTCAGAGACAACAGACCATCACAATCCACACAAAGAAGCAGGATAAAGTGGTAGAAACAAGGGAGCAGGACACAGACCCAGAACACATCCCTGAGGAATGTCCTATAAGTTTATGTGAACGATCAGAGTTCCCAGGTGTATAGTAGAGCTGACCAGAGGCAAGGTTGTGGTCACTGCTTGATCACAGCCAGCTACCCAGAGGGACCGAGGGAACCTGCAGGCTTGGGACCATAGTCACAGGGGACATCAAGCTCAATTGGCATAACATACTGTACAAAACATTGTTCCACCTCCTACTTTGGCAAGTAGCGACTTGGATCTTAAAAGCTAGCAAGCTGCCATCTGGATGCAATGATGAGTCTCCTCATCCAGAGCAAAGAAGAATGAAGAAAACCAAAATTCATGGAAACAATTAGTCCTAGCGACTGGTACACCATCCGATCTGCAGCCTATACAACTATGAGACCAGAAGAACTAGATGGTGCCTGGCTACCATTGTCATCCACTTGGAAGGGGATCTATGTAGGAGACCCTTGATAGAGAGGGAGAACAATGTGGAACAAAACTCAAAATCATTTGGAGGAAAAAAAGGGGGGACTAGGTTTGCTGGTCCAATAGAGCCTGGTGGAACCACTTAGACTATGGTCCCTAGCTGCCCTTCAGGTCTGGAATTGAACCCACACCTGTGGTTTCCAGCCAAACAAAAGACAGGCATATGAGTTGAACATTTACATTAGGTAGATACACTCCTTGGAGAGAACAATCATGGGAGAAAGAAGGGCTGCCTATGGGGAGGAAGTGGGAGGGGAGCTGTTGCATCGTGGTAAACTGTGGTCAATGACGTGAGACAATGTATATGTGAACTGCTGTATGGAAAGTGAATTTGCTCTGTAAATCTTCACCCAAATCACAATAAAAAATAAAAAAAAGATTATACTAAAATTCAGAGGTTTTCTGCAAGAAAGACAGAAAGACTCTGTGGCACTCCTGGCTGCATGGTACTCCTGACTCCGTGGCACTCCTGGATCTGTGACATTCCTGACTCCATGTCTCTCCTGGCTCCGTGGCACTCCTGGCTCCATTTGTACTCCTGACTCCGTGGCACTCCTGACTCAGTGTATTCCTCTTGCCAACAATGAAAAATTGGATTTAAAATTCAGAAAATACCATTTACAATAACATCACACACACAAAAAAAAAAAGTAAACAAGAAAAAAGAACTTACATATAGATCCAATGAGACATGTTAAGGTATGTTTGTGGAAAACTATAAAACACTAGTGAAAGAAAGCAAAAATCAAAGTTGATGGAGAAGTGGTCTGTGGATTGGAACCCTCGATGCTGACGTGCCAAGTCTCCCCAGTTTGACCAAGACTAGGCAAGCCCACTGAGAAGCACTCCTTGTTCTCGCAGTTGTGGGTTCTGGACTGGCTGCGGAGGAGGGCAGTTTGGGCCTGTCTGCCTCACCGGTCTTGCTGCAGGTGTGCCCTCGTCCATCTCCCAGTGCTTTTCCCTGTTCTTGGAGCTGCTCCCACTCTCGCCATTTCTGCTCTGTATCTTTCTTCATTGTGCTTGCTTTGGCCTTGTTCTACTTTTGAAACATTTCTTCAGGTGGAAGTTTAGAGTTTTGACTTGAGACCTTTCTTCCCTACTACAAGCACTCTAGTTCTGATCGACTATACGTTTCCTGTAAGCGCTGCTTCAGCTACGTCCCACAGTGTTTTATGGGCTGGATTTTAATCCCCATTCAGTTAAAGATACATTCTCGGATCCTGGAGTCTTCCTTCACTGACCCCTGATTTACTTAGAAACATGTTGTTTAATTTCCATAGCTGTAAACGCCCTGCCGTCTTTCTGTCTTGGATTCTAGTGTAGATCCGCAGTGGTGGAGTCGGTGTGAGATCTCAGTTCTGGCGCTTTGGTTTATGACGCAGGATGGTGTCTGTGTGGGGAGTGTTCCCGGTGTGCTGACAGATGCGAGTGAAGCTGTTGAGGGGGGAGGACGCCATGGCTGCTGTGCTCTGCCCACGTTCTGTCAGTTTCTCTCAAAGGTGCTGAGGGCATGCCTGCATCCTGGGGGGCCATGGATAAGCCCCCCAGGCCTGACCTCCCCATGCTTGTCCCCACAGGTCACCAGCACGGGCTCCCCATGGCAGGCAGCCAGTGGGACTTGGGGAAACCAGCCGGCAACCTGGCCACGGTGGCCATCATGCCTGTGTCTGAGGACGTGCCCCTGCCTGCCTTTGCCCTGGAGCTCCAGCACGCTCTGCGCGCCATTGGTGAGCCAGCCTGCCAGGCTTGCACCCTGAACTGTTGCCTCCAGGTCCCGGAGTGCCTGCAAAGGCCAGTGTCCCTTGGCTGGTGGTACCAGTCTCCATCTGCTCTGGGAATAGAGCAGGCCTGATTGCTCCACCTTGGGCCTGAGAGTGGGGACCCAGGAAGGGTGTGGGTGGGCCTTCTGCTGGCCTCAGAAGACTCCGTGGCCACGTCCCTTGGGAATGTATGTAAGTGACTGGGCAGCTTCCTGTGTGACTAGGAGAGCTATAACAGGCAGGGAGGTCACATCACCAGCTCCTGCTTTGTCAGCCCTTTCACATCTGAGCCCAGGGGCACCAAGTGCCCTCCCGATACAGCCCTGCGTGTCGCAGCTGCCTGATGGCTGTGAGCCAGCTGGGCTGCCACCTCCTGGGGACACTGCAGTGCTGGGTAAACTGGCACTATCTGGAAGATGCCTTAGGCCAGTCAGGAGGCCTGGGCACATTTCCAAATTGCCAGCAACTGTTATATTTGGAATTTCCAGAACAAAAGAATCAGAGTTCCCGAGAACTCTTGGGGATTCTTCAGGTCATAAGGTATTCTGTATTTTCCATATGACTTTCTTTATATGTTTTGTGCAATTTTCAGTGACTATCATGATAGTGGCTAAGGCGCTTGACTGCCAACCAGAAAACTTCTTAGCCCTCGGAAGGAGGGTTGGGCAATCTACTTCCGTAGTGGATACTGCCTCGGAAACCCAGGGAGGGGTCGCTATGAGTCAGGTCCGACTTAATGGCACACAGCAACAACAATCATGATAAACAGCGGATCGTTTTTTATGGTAGGGTTAGAGGAAGTTTCAGGGTTTGTCTCCAAAACATGTTATAATACACACAACACATGTTGTCATGAAACAATGTATTTGATGACAGTACATATTTCAAGACCATGTGAAAAGCTCGCCACCTGACCCAGACATTGAAACAGAAGGCATTAAATAAACACTAAACAATGCTGCAGGTGCTTAAAGTTTAGAAGCTGCTCTCAGCATGGCATTCAGAAGCACATGGGGCATCAGTTGTTCTGGTCAATAGTCTTGACCTTTGTTTCATAACAAATACCCAGGATCTAGAAAGTTCCAGAAAGTGCTCAGCGTGCCTCTGAAGGCGTCCTCAAGGTGTGTAGCATGAGGAGGTGGCTTCATGAAAGCTCGTTTCCTTCCCCTTTTGAACTTCATTTTGAGATAATTATAGGCATACAGGAAGCTGCAAAAATAGTAAGGAGAGGTCTGCTCTTTGCTTCCCCTGTGGAGCATCTGACCTAACTGTGATGCAGATCACAGCCAGGTGGAAGCCCAGGCTCAGCCCACGGGCCTTCTCCAGGCCTCCCTGGCTCTTAGATGCATGTGTGAGTGCGTACGTGTGCAAGTGTGTGTGCACATGCGTGCTGTCTCATCACATGTGTCGACCTCTGTAACCCCCACAGTCATGCTGCAGAGCTGAGCAAGTTGCTTCACCTCCAGCTTCTTCTGCAAAAGACCCTCCCTCCCACCGTCCCTCTGAAGTCCCCCCACTCCACCCCCGGCACCCCTGAGCAACCCCCAGTGTGTGCGTCACCTCTCTGATCTTGTCGTTTCAAGAATGCTGTAGAAATACAGCTGTTGCCACTGGTTTTCTGTCCTTGGACAGGGCCTCAACCACATTCGCTTCTATTTGCACAGATGCCCTCCTCTGGAAGGAGGTTTGGGGTCTTTCCAGTTTGGGGTTATTAGGGACACATATGTCAAGGAGTTTGTGTAGATGACAGTTTTCACGTGTTGGGGAGAAATGACCAGGAGTTGGCACATGTTGAGTGTGCACTTCATTTCATAAGAAACTGCCAAACCTTCCTCAGAGTGGCCGGACCCTCTCACGTTCCCAGCAGAACGAGCTGCATTCTGTCCTCACGGGCCTTTGGTCCTGATTTATCATAGCTGTTCTCTTCAGTGGTGGCCCCGGATCGTTTCCAGTCACATTTCCCTGACGGTAATGACATTGAACATCGTCTCATGAGCTTATGTTTGCCATCTGTTTATGCTCTGGTGACTGTCCTTTGCCATTTTCTAGTGGGATTGCTTGGTTTTTCCTGTTGAGTTTTGAGAGTCCTTTATATGTTATATATCGTAAAATGACTACTCAGTGCTAATTTTTTAAAATACATGTTATTGAAATATAATTTATGTACAGTGAAATACACAGAACTAAAGTGATACGGATCAATGCATTTTTTTTTGTATGTTCCCTCCCCTCCCCTCCCACCTGTGGTAACCAAGAAAGTTTCCTTCCTTATATAAGCCTTTCCTTGACTTTTTACAATAATGAATTAATACTATATTTTTCCTTCTGTGATTGACTTATTTCACTCAGCACAATAGCCTCCAAGTTCATCCACATTATGCAGATTCTACATTATTGTTTAGAGTTTCATAATATTCCATAGTTTGGTTATCTATTCTTCTGTTGATGGGCACCTAGGTTGTTTCCATCTCTTTGCTACTGTAAATAGTGCTGCAGTGAACAAGGGTGTGCATATGTCTATTCTAGACCTGGCTCTCACTTTAGGATATATACCTAGTAATGGGATTGCTGGGTCAAATGGTATTTCTAATTCCAACTTTTTAAGGAATTTCTATACTGCTTTCCACAGTGTATGAGAGTTCCAATCTCTCCACATCCTCACCAGCATTTATTATTTTCTGTCTCGTTGAACTTTGCCATTAGTGCTGGGGGGAGATGGTATCTCATTGTTTCGATTTGCATCTCTCTGATGGCTAATGATCGTGAGCATTTCTTCATGTATTTGCTAGCTGCCCAAATATCCTCCTTGGTGAAGTGTCATGTCATCTGCCCATTTTTTAATTGGATTGTTAATCTTTTTGTTGTTGAGGTGTTGGGTTTTCTGTAAATATTAAGAGATAGATCCCTTGTCAGATAGGTAATTATCAACAAGTATGAATTTGTTGCTGTCATTTTGTTATGTGCCATGTCATCACTTCATTGCTGTTATTTTAGTATTTGCTAAATATTTGTGCTGGTCCTCTTTTTTATTTTGATGTGAAGGTTTATTTATTTATTTATTTATCTATTTTAGGTTGCCCTGTGATACATAATTTTCTTCCCAAATTTAGAACAGTCCATTCTATCTTGTAATTGTCTTGACTTCCCTACCATTTAGAAGTTCTGTAACTACACAATTTTTTTCCCTCTTTTTGGTTTGTAGTTGTTCTCATTTGTGAATTGATGTCTCTGATTCCCTGTTTACAAGATTGTAGGCTTATTTACTTTGGATACTTCCATAGCTAGGTTGGTTTCTGAGTTATGTCATCATGTGTGTTAATGGTCTGTTGTTGTTTGCTGTTATTGCTTCTCTGTCCAAAGGGCTCCCTTTAGCATCTCTTGCAAGTTTGGTCTGGTTTTAACAAATTCCCTTAATTTCTGCTTATCTGGAAATGTCCTAATTTCACTATCATATTTGAGGAACAGTTTTGCTGGGTATATAATTCTTGGTTGGAAATTTTTCACTTTCAAGGTTTTATATATACCATCCCATTGTCTTCTCACCTGCATGGTTTCTGCTGAGAAATCTGAGCTTAGTCTTACTGGTTGCCCCTTGTGGTAACTTTATGTTTTTCCCATGCTGCTTTCAGGATTCTTTCTTTGTCTTTGGTTTTGGTGAGTGTGATGATGAGATGTCTTGGTGATTTTCTTTTGGGGTCTATCCTGTTTGAGGTTCGTTGGGCTTCTTGAATGGATATAGTCTCATCTTTCATCATACCAGGGAAATTCTCTTCCAACAAATCTTCAACAATTTTCTCTGTGGTTTTATTTGTCTCTTCCTGTTCCTGGAATTCCAGTTACACATAGGTTATTCCTTTTGATGGTATCCCACATGAACTTTCGAACTTGGAAATATTCAACCTGTTGGTGTCATTAGACTAACTGATAGGCCACTGTTCTGCCTCCATACTCACTGTTTTCATTCAGGTTTTTCCACCAGTTGGTGCCTAATCCACTTCTGTATCCTTCCTTCCAAAGCTCAGGGCTCCAGGATTCTCTTCGTATCTCTGTCAGTCGGTTTCTCTTTTCTTTGTTGGAGAGGGTCTGTGTAGCCTCTCTGCCTATTCCACCATCTTCCCAGTGCTAACAGAGAGAACTCAGAGAGAAACATGGAAATCTTGGTGGTGAACACTGTCTTTCCTGGGGCCAGATGTTGGCACTGGGACGTGGGTGTCCTTGAAGGCGTGTGGATGGCACTCTGAGAACTCAGGCTCCGTGTTGGGGGTGAAGGTGGCAGGGACATGGGGGCGCTGCCTGGGGTCCCCCAGGCTTCTCTCCTTCAAGTGCTGCTTTCTAGATTCTTTCCTGCCCAAGCACCCCATTTTCCTGGTAGGAGTACTTCCTGGGTTGGGTTAGTTAGGTGTCACTACTGGCCTCAGACTCCCCTGTGTGGAGTGTCCCCAGTTCAGGAGCCTCTGCATGTCTGTGTGTCCCTGAACAGGGTGGGACATCTTCTCTTTTTAAATTCTCTTCCTCACACATCACATCTCATATTTCTAGTAACTTGTTTGGTTGATGGTTCTCTGACTCATGTCTTGCCTTATTCCCAAAGGCAAGTGGCTTAAATATAGAATTAAGGTGGTTTGAAAACAAAAACCTGAGTCAGGAAAGGGAGTGAACTGCAAATGAGAGCAGCGTATGGTCCAATTGGGACACACTGGGACTGCAGACAAGACTCAGGCCCTCCAAGGTGCAGCGGTACATCCTTTTGTCAGTGGCTTGCACCACCCCTCCCCACACTGGCCACCATCCTGCCTTTCCTGCCCCAGGCTTTGCACGGGTCTTCTTGTGGTGCTCAGCCTCCCTCACTTTCCAATAAAGACTTGCTGTACTGGAGTGTGCCAGGGAGGCTGGGGTACATCATGGAGTGGGACGTGATAGCACAGAACACGGCTCATAAGTGATTCCTGGCAGTGGCGCCATCGAGC